TGATAGTCATGTCGTGGAGGAGGCGGACCTGAACTGCGCAAAACGCAGGGGTAGAGTTCGGCCCCCGAACCCTGTAAGTCTCTCTCTCTCTCTCTCTCTCTCTCTCTCTCTCTCTCTTGAGTCAGGTCAAAGAGCGGCGCCAGCGGATGGATGAAGACCCTGTAGAGTACGAGGCTGGAGGGTTAAATTTCTTCGTGAGCCCACACATGGTACGACTTTGCCAGGAGCGGGTGGACCGCTTTTCAATGTTTTTGCAGAAATCCATGGTCGCCGAAGTGTCACAGGCCAGGTGTGGGAAACAAAATCGACCGGCGACTGGATCCATTCGGCTTCCTTCTTCTGTAGCCTGCACGCCGCTCGCAAATGTTTGGATTTTGAAGAGACTCGTTGGGGCACGACCAGGTGGGTGATGAACGGCCACTGACACAAGGGAAATTCTCGCCTGACGCTTCGCTTTTCTGCACAGCTTCGTGGCCGGATGCATAGTCAGGGAAGGAGGGAGGGAGCTGCGGGCGAAGAAACCGATGACGATTGTTGTGGTGCCAAGGTCCGGCTTCATCAAGCTCTGGAAGACCCCTTCGTGTGATCCCGTCCTTACCATCCGTGTTGGCGAAGACAGGCACCAATCTGTGTGCATTGCAGCGGAAGCGACGCTTGATCATTCCTGAGTTTGGTCCAAGTTTGTGATTTCACGGCTGTTCTTGTGCAACTGAATATGTTGTCTGGCAAAATATTGGGGTTGCTGCGGCACATCTAGGCAACCGAGTCACCTCCGTCAGCCTGACAATGCCATGATCGGTGTCAAGTGTTTTGGATCTTTCCGTATCACATCTTCGACTAGCAACGCTTCTGGTATCAGGTGCAACAGCGTGGCATGGCACCCAAGTTGCAAAGGCACGCCTCCATTCGAGGGTCTGGCGCCTGGCTTGCCGAATCAGAAGCAGCTACGGCTAAAGCCCGAGCAAAAGTGGAGCCAAGGCAACACGGTCCGCCTTGCTTCAGCTTCAGCAGACTCCAGGCTGGCTGGAGTTCTCAGTGGCATTGAGCTTCTTGTGCTGTCCCAGCCTAAGGATTAGCCTCTGGTCTTTGTCCGAAAGCCAGCCGGTCAATGTGCTAGAGGGCCACGAGGATCTTGAAGAGTGTGCAGCCGTGTCAGAGTGTTGGCATTTCGTTTCAGGACCGAGTCAACAGAGTGGTGCTGGATGCTTAGAGTGCAGCGCAGTGTATCTGGCCGCTCCACAGACGCCGTTCCAGTCAGGTTCCACCCCATGGGCGAGCACGTGATTTCCACATCGCATGTGCCATGGCTTAGCAGGCTTTTTTCTGATGCGCCCGGCGAACTATCCAGACTTTAGGATATGAGCTGGCGCTTGTGGGATGTCGAGACTACCACGGAGCTGCTGCTGCAGGACCAATTTAGCTCGCGGAATTTCGTTCGCTTCCCTGGGTCTTGGAGGAAGGTCACTCACGACCAGTCTATGGCTGCTCAGTGCACCCCGATGGTTCTCTTGTGGCGACCAGCGACCTAGGCGGTGTTGTTCGCGTGAAGCTCCTCAGATCCTCAGAACTTCTCATTCCATCGTCCAATCCACTTTGCCCAAGGTCTGGGACTTGCGAAGTGGCAAGACCGTTATGCCCCTTGCAGCGCATGGCAAGCAGGCCGTCCTCGAAACTGATTTCAATTTGCGAGAGCGGATGGTCACGGGTTGCGAGGTGCTTGCGGTCGACTTCCATCCACGCGGCACCATCCTTGCAACAGCCAGCGACGATCACAGCATGCGCGTCTGGGATCTGCGGAAGAGGAGGTGCAGCAGTATCGCCAGCACGTCCGGGATCCAAGGGTTTTGAACTCCTGCGAGGTGCACGCACAACCTTCTGCTCCACAACAAACTCATCTCAGAGGCAAGGCATCGTCGGCATCGTGACTTCGAGCTGCATCTTTTCTTGGCATGTACGTTAGGTGAGCTTTGAGAAGGGGGAAGGGCGCCTGGTCCTGACCTCCAGCTACGACGGCACGGTGAAGATCTGCTCCACCACAGACTGGAAAGTCGTGAAGGCGCAGTTTCTTTGCGGACTTAGGGATATGTAGGTATTTTGGTTAAGGGGTTACCTCAGTGGCACTCGCTGCAGCGGCGGGTCGTCGGGTGTCATCCTCGTGTTTTCAGACCGTCGGATCGTCGCCACAGCGGCGCGACGGGTCCTCGACTCCTCGAAGCCTTGAGGTCGTAACCTCCAAAGTTCCGTCCTTGAAAAGTCGACCTTGCGCCACCCTGCAGCACGCTCCCACTACCTCGGCAACACATGGAGGCCCTAACTATCAGCCTGGTGGAGACCCTTCTAGCCTTGATGTTAAGCGGCACGATGACTATCTCGCCCAGAATCCCATACTGATCCCCATAGTTCAGTTCTTGAGGCCAGTTCTATAAGCCCGATACCCTTCATATTCAATTCGAAAATGTAGTATCACAATACTCTAACCCTACGATTGACCAGAATGGCAAACGGGCAAACTACCTCGAATAATGGTGGCCGTAGTGCCTTAGTGGCAACCCCCAGGTTGACCCCAAGGTGCTTGCAGACCTAACATGAGCCGACATTCTCCGTCATAGTATCAAGCATTTCTGCTCATGTTAATACCCCAGTGTGGCCAACGTGTTCGCTCCAATCGTAATCCCAAATTCAGTCCTAAGTGGACTACCGAATACAGAATCACCCTGAAATTGAAGGAACCCCTAAGTCTAGACTTTAGCCTTGGCGGTGGCCCTTATTTGGGTCCCAAGTGATTCTGATAGTTCCTTCAAGAATTGCCCCATGCATATCTGCAATGTAAGCGTTGTCACCGCTGGCTTGTGGATCTCTCATTTGTAATAAAGCAAAAGTGAGAAATGAGAAGCTCTCTTCATAATATTATAGGTCCAGAGATGTAATGTAGGATTAGTTGATGTTGAGTCACAGGATTGTAGGAGGGAAATTAATGGTAGAAGCGCCTAATTTTCTAGTTGTCTTCTAGTGGCAATTCTTAGGTCATATTTAGTGATTCCAGGAAAAATCATATTTTAGGTGTGTCTTCTAGTTCATTTTCTGGTTATCTCTTCATTGTTTTCCTTTAATTAAAACATAAGCCACAGACCCAGATCAGCATTCATCATCTCCTCACGCACTTGTCTTTTCATGAGTCTTACCGCTGAAGCTGGAACTAGATGCATGAGTCTTCNNTCCAAGTCTTATTTCGTTCCCTTCTCCTTTGTTTCTTTGTGTGCTTCTTGCTTTCGTTTCTCTGCATTAAAAGACACACTGAGCTTGTTGTGGGTAAACTTCGCTTGCGGTCAACTTGTTGATAGCGTATTAAAAGCCTTGCTTTGCTTGGGTAAGTTCTTAGTTTCTGGTGTGGTGAGATTGCGAAAAAGCATGCAAAACTTGCTCCGCAGTCTTAGCCCTGGGCTCAAAATTTTGTCCCTGAGTTGCGTTCTTGCACTGAGGCCCGTTAAGCTCATATTGCAAGCTAGCAGGCTCTGGGTGCTAAAGCAGGGGTGCAGCCCACTCGTGCGTGGACACCGACAGCGAGACCTCGGTTGGGGCCTCGTTGGTTCGTGCACACGAACTGCAGACTCTCGAGCATGAGTTTTTCGACAACTTGGCAGCCCTGCAATTGAGGGCTGCAGTTCTTGAGCATCGTCTGCTGCCGCCGGTTTCGTACAATCCTTCAGACAGTGACAACTCTTCTGATTCAGTGGAACCGTTGCTTAACTCGTGCTGCTCTGAGACCCGCATCCTTTGCGCCCTGTGGCCCTGCCTGACCCCTTCCGATCGTTGTGCTCTCCTGCAGATCAGCTGGTGGTTCCGCAGCCATCGCCCGCCTTGCTTGCTGCCGTCACCCTCAGTCATCATGCTTTCAAGTGACGCCGACATGCCAGCCTCTTCTTTGGACAAAAAGGTTGGTTTTGGAGCCGGTTGAAATTTTGGAAGTACCTGCTGGTGTCAATAGTGATAATGGTGTTGGCGTGGACTTTAGCCTGATTGCCCAACATTCGTCTTCAGAGCCTGGCGCAGAGCTGCTGGGCGTGTTTCCTCGGCAAGAGATCCAAGAAATTTTTCCTTCAGGTGTGAGTGAGCTTTTTGCTCAGGCTCCTGAAGCCCGGGTGGCCGGCAATCGTTGCGAGCAGGATGTTGTTTCTGAAGCTTCTATGTTAGATGTGTCTGTAGGTTGTGCCGAATTTGATGAACGACAAGAACTTGAATACTATCGTCAGCTTGAGCAAAGGCGTGAGGATTATTTTGAGAGCATCCCAGGAACTTAGTGGAAGAGGACCAACAGGCCTTAGCCATCTTGCAGCCAGAGCCGGTTGAGCTTCTCAGTCCGGCCGGGGTGACGCGCTGTGTCGTTCCTGTGCAGGTGCAAGAGCAAGTTCTTGATGAGCTGATAAATCACCCTGTGCCTCCCTCAAAATTTAAGTTGCCTTGGGAAAGAGGACCCGTGAAAAGCATCTTTTCGGACAGCCTTCCAAGTCTCCCTAGGATTAGGGGTATGCCTCGCCGTAGCTTGCCTGAAGCGCTTCCTGTGGCTAAGAGTGCAGCCGCGGCCCAGAAGCCGCGTGTGCATGATCCCAGCGAGCCCATTTTTAAGTGTGTAGTAAAGGTGGTGAAGGATGTGGCGTACACCGAGCGGCGGGTCATCGTCCTTCTGAGCGCAAGGCAGGCCGAAGGCTCTTCCGAAGGGTCCGCCAGTCCGAAAACAATGCAAGAGTCAGCTGCACCACCCCCGGCTCCCCCTGCTTCCGGAAGTACGGTGAGCCACCAACAAATCAAGTCAATGCTTGCTGACGCGGCAGTGATCTTGCAGCAGGCCATGCCATTACAGGATCGATCCACCACACCTGGTCACTCCTATCTCCCCTCCGGCGACTAGCCCAGCCTCAGTGAGTCAGGCCGCTGGCGCACCAGTGCAACGTTCAAATCCGTCCCCTGCGGCGGGAACTCCAGTGGCATTGGCCTCACTCAGCGCGCAGCTTGAAGCGCTTCGGGCTATGGCTGGGGATCATGAGATTAGAGCACTTTCGGTCGCACATCTTCGTGCTGATGAGGAGATTGAGGGCAACAAGGCACTTCTGGATAGTGGTGCGACCCATGCTGTAAGTCCTTACTTTTCGCTGTGTGCATAGGAAAGAGTGTCACGTCTGGGCACTACAGAGCTCTTTTGTACAGTGCGGTAACTGGAAAGCTGCACTACTGCGACGACAATGCTCGGGCTGTGTTGCTGAACGATTTTCATAGTGTTTCTAGCGATGTTTATGCGGTTTTCTCAGCTCGTATGCATTAGCAGTATGCACGAGGTTTTCCTTTTTGGGGCAACATGTACACACATGTTTTGCTTGCGGAGCAAAGAGTGCTACAAAAAGTGCTGTAGTCTTGCCACCAAAACCTTGCAACACCCGGCCGTTGCCGGCTGCGTGGCTGTCGCCACTTCGCAAATGACACAGCACTTGATATGGCGCATCCATTCTTGTGCCCAGAATCCATTCCCTACCGCCGTAGGCTGTCCGTGCTGTGGGGTTTAGTTTAGTCTGGATCCCCAGCACAATGCATAAGGGCAGATGCTCACCGATCGGTGGGCTTTAAGAAGTACCAGAGGTTTTCGCAAGCAGTCACCAGTGAAGAGTGTGGCCGCGTGCTTGCGCTTGTATGGGTCTGTGATGTCATGTGCGGATGTTCAATACATGTCCGAGTGTGAGTACCAGTGCATCTTTACCATATCTTCAGAAACATCAAAGAAGGATTTTCAAAATATTAGCCGAAATTTAGCGACATGAACAATCCCAGCTGAAAATTATGGTTTGAGAACATCACAAAAGTAGAGAACATCTGAAATCGTTATTTGTTAAACATCTACGCAGTGCAGAAAGCTGTGTTAGCTGCACGTGAAATGCACAGGGAAGCCTTGTGAACGACAGGTCGTCGTTAAGTGCAAGACAGGAAAGCCAAGTAAAAGTGCGGTGTCACAGCTTGTCAGGGGAAGCTTTAGACAGTTTGGTAGCGCCCAGTGGAGCCAAAGGTCGTGGACCAGGAAGAGCCAAGGATGAATGCTTTTGGGGATGGAGAAGCCTTCGAGGATGGAAGACGTGGGAGAAAGGACAGGGTCGAGCGTGACGAGAGCGAATTGATGGCCGTGTGGACGAGCCTGCCAAGGAAGCCCGGTACGCACACGCAAAGGAACTATTACGCGAACTCCGTGACGTACGGCTTCAGGAACACGTACCTGATCAGGAACAAGAGCGCGTGCATCAAGGACGTTATGTACATTGGAAAGGTGTTGTTTACGCACACGCTTCTCTTTGTGAAGTACATGATCCCAGAGTATTTGAACCCTCTTGGCGTGACCAGCGACCAGGAAAATGACGGCCTTGAGTCCGGCTACGCCTCTAGATGCCTGGAAAAGGAAATGCTTCACAAAGTAGGAAAGAGTCTTTTCGAAGAACAGCGAGCAAAGGCAGCAAAGGCAGGAAAGAAATTTCACGACGTTGTGCACAGTCTTGTGTTTGAAGGAATTCGTCTGATAGTTTTAGCACGAACACGTTTCGGACTGATTACTTGCATCATCCTAACGTATTTTTCGCATTTGTTCTTTGTAGCAGTGCAGAGCCGGAGAAGGAAAGTTCAGGAGAACAAGAGGAGAAATAGGAGAAGAGAGGTTGAGGTGAAAAGGAAGCACAGAACACTTTTTCTTGTTGTGCTTGTTTACAGCAATTTGGGAACAGCCAAAGGAATGGCGGATGCGTTGAAGAAGCTAGCAGAGACCAATCAGCTAAAGCTCCAAGGAGTACAAGCATGAGCAAGCGAGATGAGGAGCACTGCAGCAGCACGCGCACAGCGAGAACAGAACATAGCCAAAGGATATGCCAACACATTGCAGGCAATGCAGCAATACACAGCAGAGACGCAGAGAACCTTTGAGGAGATAGGAAGCAGCCTGGAGAGCAGTGAAAGGAAAAAGCGAGGTGAAGTCCAGCAACACAAGTTCAGCAAGCCTCCTGAAGCGTTTTCACCAGGAACTGTGCAGGAGTTACAAGACTGACGTCTTCGAGTTTGGCTTGGCGCCATGAATGAAGAACTTGTGGATTTCATGGAACTCGTTGAGCGTGACCCAAAGAGGAACGAGTTCTTGGCAATGAAGGATATGAGCGATGAAGCTAAGACACAGACCAGGAAATTGTACAGTATTTTGGCATCCTATGCAAAAGGTAAGCCGTACCGTGTGGTTCGCCGCGACACGGAAGAAAACGGCATGGAAACCTATAAGTTGTTGCTGTTAGAGTGTTAAAAATATCAGCCTGTTAATAGAGCAAGAAGATTTTCCGCAACATTGTGCATTATCGTTTTGCCAAGGATCCAGCCCTGAACGACCCCAGATCAAGGGCACACACGCCATCGACGAAGACAGTTTCCCATCTCGCGGAAGCTGCGCGAAAGCAAGAACTCGAATGAGGCCAACGGCCTCAAAGGTTTTGAAGCGTGTCGACCTCTGCCTCTCGTCTTAGGCTCCTCAATCTGGCCACAGGGATGAAGGCCTGCGTGAATCCCAGATCCGCAGGGAGAATCAGTTGCTTCCTCATCGCCTTGGAACTTGACAATCCTCATCACAGGCGGAGCAGCCTGCCTTTCGTGTCCAGCCCCAAAGCAAACTCGCAGTCAGGGAGGTGATGGCGATGGTGGGCTAATGTCCGTGCAGTCTGACAGATCCTGCTGACTACTTTGAAATTTTATGCGATGGTGGCTATACTCCCATTTCCGATGGCGGCTGATCCTATGTTGTGCGCGCAAGCTGCTTTGAAACAAGCTACAGCCACGCGTCCTGTGTTCCGCATCCCGTGTGGCTTACCTGCGGCGTCCCCGCAGTCCCGCATCCCATCCCGGATTCCGCGTCCCGTGGCACTGCGTCCCGCATTGCCCTGTATTCGGCGGCCCGCGTCGCGGCTCGCGTCCCATGTCCCTTGTGCGCTGCAGCCTGCGTTCTGTGTCATGCGTCCTGCGTTCCGAGTCCCGCGTCCCGGTTCCCGGGCCTGCGTGACACTAGCTCTTGTAGCGAGAATAAAAAAGCAGAGTGGCATGCGCACGTGCGCAGCTGTTAGGTCCGCACACGGATCAACAAGATGTTATCCTCACGCTGATCGCCTGTGTGAAACATGTCAGCTGTCTGTCAAAGTGATGCCGTGATTCGCCCGGTGACACTTCGGCATGTTCTTCGCATGAAAAAGGGTCGGGCAGGTTTTGCAGCAACAATCCCGCAGCAGACAGTAGCTTCTGTACGTTGACAGAACTGATGCCAGAGACGTCTGCGCAGGTCCTCATTGGTCACGAGGGCCGAGTTATGGGTGCCGACCATATCCCTGCAGCAGTAGGTGGTGGCCGCCTCAGCCCAGAGCTGGCAGAGCCGGCTTTGAGCCCACGGTGTTCAAAAACTGATCTCTCTCGGGAGGCCACCACTACATCGGCTCCGTGGCCTTCGACCGGACCCTGAAATTTTGGTCCACGCAGGTGGGCCACGCGGTCCGTCTTTTTTTCCTGTCTTTCTGACTTTGCTGCCAGGGCAAGGCCGAGCCTCCTGTCGATGCCACTGCCTTCATGACCTGAGAGCCGTATAAACAGATGGCATCATGACATCGGCAGATGCCATGCAGACATGTGTCCAGTGAAAAATCGACGGAAGTTCGCAAGCCGCAAGAACTGCAGGATTTTGCCACGTGACTGCAACATGCACATTATGTGGCCGCGTGGCAAGTCGAGCCCAAACGACTAACCATTGCCCTGTGGCCATGAACAGGGCTCCGCAGTCAGACTGTCATGACGCTGGGACATGAGAGACGGACATGATGTAGTCCCGCTGCGCCATTTACAAATCGACGGGACTCGAAGTTGAATTCATACCTACTAATCTGCACGTCATGCTTTAATGTACTGTTGCGTGTCGGTCTTCCAGTTTGTTGGGCAATGACGCATTTTCAAATACATTGCCGGTTCACTCTGTGTCAGACTTCAATTTATCACCTGCCTGCCACAATACCGAACAAAAGCATGTAAGTATCGCCGCTGGCGAAGTACCTGACCACGCCACAGCTTGGGATGTTGCCAGCGTCCGAGTGTTGTGATAAGTACGTCACCTGACTGAAGCAAGCGGACACTGCCACAGACCACGATTCGCGGTCTTTGCAGTTTGTGAACATCGGTACACACAGTAATTCGTACTGCACCATGCGCGCAGCTGATACGTGACGTTATTGCTTGTCTGTTTGACGACTCAAGCTCCCACAGCAGTCAAGTAACCTGGATGACTTTTCCCTGCACGGAATGATGTATTTTCGCTCTTGACATGCTCATTAAGATCAGCAGTGGAGCATTTGTCTGACGGTTGTGCTATCACATGAAGGGCATGCATGATCTGCACCTCCGAGAGCCTGTTTAGCAATTGGCTTGAAAAGACCGATACCCGATGCGTACCCGAAACTAGGTGGCATATCACTACATCAAGAAGGACGCCCATGCACAGGGGGCAGTTGATCACCAGCTAAATCGAGCCAATCGGTTCTTCAGTCTGTCCGTGCGAGTTGGTGATTTCGAGGGAGTTGATTGCAGGCTTCTTGCGAGCATCAACGCGCCGGTCTTGAAGTTTTCTGCATAACGTACGAGGTAATGTGTTTGAAGATCTGTCCTGTGCCTGTACCTTGCTTGTTCACTTCTGTTGCGCTTCAGATCGCGCTTTGCGGAACCCACGGTGTCTTCCCAAGCGGCCCTGGGCCCAAACAAGCCCTACCAGATCCTACCAGCCTAGATGGTCTTCGTCTTCCCAAGTGTGATCTGAGACCGCAAACGGTCATGTTGGCCTGTCAAGATCTGTCAACAGCTTTCACTTTTCTCTTGCGTCGCCTACGCCAGAGGGCTCCAGAACTCGGCTGGGGGAAGCGTGGGGCGGCCGTCGCCCTGCGAGCCGCGGTCAGCCATGGCAAAAGGAGGCGCCCGCTAGCGTCGCCTTTCAGGGCCCCGTGAGAAGGGCCGTGCTGCGATCATCTGCGATCCTTCAGTTGCGGATGTGGACGCAGGCAGCCTTCTCGCCACTCTGATTGCCATTGCGCTCGGATTGGCTCTGTGTCTCGGCTGATGGCCTCCCGCCATCTCCCGTCCTTGTTTGACATTGCAGGTTGATGGTGGCCCAGCAGTACTGGGCTAAGACTTAGAGAGAACAGCTGTGACTTGTCTGTGGCTTCTGCAGCAAGCATTTGGTGTCTGTGCTTGTCTTTTTGCCCTTTCCCTCCTGTCAGGTGCTTCTTGACAACGACACCGACGCCACCCTCGGGCAATGCTCAGCCACGACACGCGCAAAACAGGGCCCCTCTGATGCATCTGCCGCAGCCGCACTGGTTTTGGGGCAGAAAGTGTCTCTGCTTCTAGTGTTTCTGTGGCCTAGCCTTCGCAAGCCCTGAAGACCACATCAACAAGGTGGACCTGCAACTCCACAATGCGCCGATGGTGCCAATGGAAGGTGGAGTTGTCGGTCTCAGTTATTCCGGGGTGTACTTCTTGTACTGTATTTCTCTGCAGGTGACTTTGCAGCTGGTTCCCTTTTCGCTGGTTCAGAAGTTCTCTCTCTTGAGGGTGCTGACCGGGACATCAACGTGCTGCCCACAGTTTAGACCGCTGCAGGGCTTTTGTGTGCATAGCCTCCGAGCAGGTTGCAATGTTCAACAAGAAGCGCACAAAACGAGGACATGTGGGCAAGTCTCTGTACGCTGCACTGTACGCTCTCTGCTCTGACTGCGGCCTCTGCGCAGACCGAAGTGAGGGCTGGACGCTGCGAAAGAAGTTTCGCAGTTGCTGGATTCCTGGCGCCCACAGCCTGTCCAGTGAGACTTGTGCAGTGACAGTTGTGACAGTTTAAGGCTCCCTTCTGGCCCGTGCCGCCACCGCGAAGGGCCGGAAGGAACGGTCCGAACTTCGAACAGTGTCGGAACTTCTCGACAGCGATGTTTGGCTCAGATTCTGAAGAAGCGCATGTGGCGTGGCAAGAAAGTGCTTGCACCTGGCGACTACTGCAACTACAAGATGCAGAGAGCCGGGCTCCTACATGAGCCATTTTCCCTTGGACTTGGAGCATCTTGGAGCCATCTTCCGCCTGCCGGTCCCAGGTGAAGAAGTTGCGCTAGTCTGAGGCGGGCGGGGTCCATGGCGGGATCCTCCGACATCGCTGCGACAGCAGAAAGGGAGCCATTCGTCACGTCCCAGCTCTGCCCAGCTCTGCCCAGCGTTGCTTTGGCGGCTCCCGCTCCGCTTTTTCGGCTCGCAGGGGACTCGGACTCGGGACCCTCCCAGCTTTGGTAGCGAACTCCTCCATTTCCCGTCCTCGTGCCCGGACCTCGGCCTCTTGGGAGAGCGCCACATCGGCACGGAATCCGAGGATGAGGTCACAAAGATCCTCGATGCCTGGGAATTACCTCTCCAGGCACCTGGCTGCACGAGGTAGCAGTAAGGGACATGATAACGCTCTGGTCCGAGGGTGCTTCGCTTCTTGCCCCTTTCGGTAAGGCCGTCTTTCCCGCCTGGTGCGGGAGGCTTGTCCAAAGCCTTTGCCCGCCAGCGCCTGGACGTGCAGACCGTCCTCCAGCAGGGAAGCCCAGAAAGGCGGGCGAAGTCTCGGAAGCCCGCAGTAGACTCAGTAGAGTGTTGTTGCCTCCCTCTAGGCTGGGCCGTTTTAAGGTGCCTCTTCTTCCCGTGGCTGCTGTTTTGTGCCACTTATGCGCTGCTGAGACGGCCTCAGTTGCGATTTTCTTTGCTCGTAATTTCTTCGATGGCTCAACGCAGGTCCTGCTCCCTGCATTTCTATCGGCCTAGCCTCACCTACTCCTTGGTGGCTCTCGCAGCGCTGCCGCCAACGGTGCTCACATGGACGGTTTTGGTCGGGTGAGTTGCGGGCTAAACGTCCTGAGCCTCCTGACTTCTCGTGCCAACAAACACTGTCTCGGAGATGTTTCGAGGTATGTGAGGCCCGGTCTGAACGTGCTTCCACTTTTCAGACCTCAAGAGTATCTAAGAGTGCAGTGTCCATCCTGGGGAAAAGCCTGTGTTCATAAGATGTCATGCATCAGAATCTTAGAGCTGGACACTTCCAACTATGCACGCGCGGGGGCTGGGGACGGATCGCGGGGAAATCGAGGGCCGCGAAGGTGCGCGAGACAAGTCAAGCCAACTTCACGCGAAGCCAAGCAATTTCATACACAGAACTCAAAAAAAAACGAAGACGCCTTGTCGAACAGAATCTAGCACTAGCAGAAGACACTGCGTGTCATAATATATCATAATATCATGGATCCCCTGTTCAGCAATGCGCTTACAAGCCAAGCCAAGCCAAGCCAGTTTAAAGTTCGAACAAGGCTCTTGTCCAACAGAAGATCCTGGCTAAAAGAAGACCACGTCAAGCTACAGCCTTTTGTTCGCGTGGTCTTCTGTCACTTAGGTTTTGCTTTTGGGTTTGGTCGTGCGTGCACAAGAACACTTGTGGCAGGTGACATCGATTAATGACGTGATCTCTCCCGCTCAAGTGTTAAAGGTGAGTTAGGGCCAAAGTTTGAAGCTCTTCTCGCTCTGCCTTCACCTCGTGATATGACCGGTGCACGGGATCCTATAGCCCTGGCCGTCGTCCATCCTCGTGCCGCGCGGAGCCTGCCACGAGGTGGTAGGCGAGAAACGCGGGGAATGCAGCGCGCGAAGCAGCGAGGCACCTGTCGGGACGCCGTGAGACAGGATGCGAGGGTGCAGGGCGGGACTTAGGGCGAGGGGGGAACACGGAGTCCGGCGCACCGCGGGACAGGTTGGAATCTCAAATCGGGACATCGTTTCCCAGATGCAGACTTCGCATTTCCGGCAGGATGTCGCTGCGGCTTCAGAGCTTCCAGCCCAGCTGGTACAGTTTCCTGGCAGCTTCGGGCTTGGCGACGTGATGCGACGTGTCTGGATGCTGGACTGCGCGCGCTGCTGCGTGGAGGTCACCACGCTCCTCGGTTGGCTTCTGGGCGTCAGGGGCCCTGATCAGAGCATAGCCGAGCCAGTGCGGAGCGCCGCAGCGAGCGCAGGTGGTTTTTGGGAATTTGAACTATGCGGCGACCACCGATCCGCCCCAAACTCACCCAACGATGTTGGTGTTGCACTTCTGAGCCGCCCTGGCAAAGGTTTTCGCAGTATGTCAACATGGACGTCCTCCCCGAGGTGTAATCAGAAAGGCAGAAAGGCTTGGACATGTTCTTGGCAAACACAGGTGAGCCCTGCTCAATGGGATGGTGAAGCGGCCATGTCAGTGGGTCGCGTGTACTTCGGCAAGGAATCCACGCTGGATGTCAGGCGTGCGCTGTGCACTTCGCTTGCTTTGCCTGCACTCCGGCGTCCCGGGTTGCGTCTGTTCAGGAGATCTATGGCCTTTAAGAATGTGGACACCTACTGCGTTGCTCCAGTATCCGTTTTGCAAGGTCGGCCTGTGCCATCGTCACGGTTCAATCACATGTTGTTCAGAGTCTCTCTGTGCCAGGCGGCGTGGTTCTTCCGCTGGAAACCTATGATTTCTGGGCCATTGGCATGGACTGCTGCTCCGTGAATGCGGCAGACTTCCATTGTGGTACGGGGCTTGGTTGGACCTCATTGGTTCGCCCGCTGCTTTCCCAGAAAAAGCTAAGCACTGCAGGTGAAGTCGGGAACTCCAAGGCCCACAGCGGCCTAAGGCTACTAGACGACCACAAGCGCAGCTTCTACCGACTTGCCGTGGAGCAGGCGCAAAAACTCCAAGCAACGCTTCAGCCTTGAGCCTCCCGTGCTGAGGCAGAAGCAGCTTACAGCATCAAGGCACGATCTCAGTTGCCACAACCGCCCCTTTGTAACGCGCTGGTGAGGCGCGACATCCAGTCTTTTTTTACTGGGTGGAAGATGCCACGGCAGAGATGGACTCCTTCCGCAACGATGGTTACAAGTGCCGCTCCGAATTGCCTCTCTCTCTCTCTCGCTGCGGCTTCTGCTGTTGGACTCTGTTGGACTCTTGGGGCGGAGGTACTTTCTGATCGGCATGCTGAGCCATTTCCTCTACCAGCAGCCTGTCGGCAGGGCAGGGCAAAACTTTCGAATTAGTGGTGAATGCTACAGCTAATTACAGCTACTGTATCTGTGCAATGCGGTCCGCTGCAAGGCCGGCCTAGGCCTAGCCTGCCTCGCGGCCTCTATTATGGCCTCTGAGGTTGCTCTGCGTCATCTTGGCCATCGCTGCCTTCTCCAAGTGGGGATGCGAATGAGCGGCCGAAAAAAGCGACTCTGCACTCCTTTTTTGCCGGGCACTGACAGCTTGCTCGCAATGCTTCGCAATGCTTCGCAATGCTTCGCAGAGTGAGAGCTCGAGTGGAGCCGACGTCAGCACAGACCTCAAAGAGACGCGTGAAAGAGCAGCAATCCGCAGAAGGAAGCCACTGATGCCCGCTCGCGCGGGCTTCAACTTCGCCCCAGGCTTGGCTCTCAACAGCCCTCAAGTTGCACTGCCCTGACATTACAGTACATGCGCTGCAGGGCTTCGAGACTGCCTGCCAGGGCGGTGCGATGAGGCCGAGGCAGACAGCGCTCCACCGTCTCTCGCACCGTCTCTTCCTTCCCTCATCTTCCTTCATCCGTCTCTCCGTCGCAGGGACGCCCAGGGCCTGGGCGGCGGCGGCCTGGGCGGCCTGGGCGGCCTGGGCCTGGAGGTCTTCTCGGAGCAGCAGCTTCGCGAGACGTGCCTTCGCCTCGAGCGCCTCGGCTCAGCCGCTCCGCGCGTAGCCGCCCGGCCCGTGCAGAATCTCCTCGTCTGCAGGGGCCGCGTGCGGATGCTCCGAAGCTTCCTGGAAGACCTGCACTGCGAGAATGCCACGCTGCGAAGGCCAGCGCAGAGAGCAAGGCCGCCCCAGGCCCAGGCGTGGAGCGACGGCCCCAAAAGAGGGCCTTGTAGGACAGGAGCATCAGGGGACGTCGAAGGTCGACGTGACGGGGAGTCACACCCGCCTGGAGCCAGACATCAGAAACCCTTCAACTTCAACACGCTCCCCCTACTTACCTACTTCAGCTTTGAAGCGTCAATCTCGCGATCTTTCTCTAATTGAAAACGTATATGCAGGGCTTCTGCAGCGGGAGCCTGGCCATGAGACTCACTGGAGGCAGCGGGCCGTGCTCAGCGACCGTCTAGGAGAGGTGGAGGCGGGCTCAGTGCTCTGCAAACTTCGACCCTCGCGGCAGTGGAGAGGACTCCCTGTGCGTCGCTGCTGCCTCTGGAGACGCTGGCGATGGAGAGGACTCCGGCTGTACCATGCAACGCGACCACCACACGCGAACATGTAGGACAGAGACGGTGTACCACCGCTGCAAGCCCCGAAGGTCGCAGGCTTTGTCTTGGCGAGGGTCTGCATCCGTTCCTGAACAGGAGCTTGTCGGGCAAAATCCTGATGGAGTGGAGCTTACTTGGCGAAACTCCCAGTTCAGTCTCGCTTTCCGACAGGGGACATGTAGCGACATCGACTCAAGTTCACCGCTGAAGGAGCTGCGGCGAAACTCCTCTTCTTGGAGAGTAATCAGGGTTTGTGGTTTCTGCGATTTTTTGGAGGCAGCTCTCCAACTGCCAGCAGCGACCGCCCCAGGCCCAGGTGCTGCCCGGCGTGAGCCACAGAAAGTCCAGCGCAGAGCGCCCTGCCCCGGCCGGAAGGGGAGCGGAGAGCTTCAAGTTCTGACGGAGAAGGCCGCTGCAGCCGTTCTGCTAGCTGCCGACCCCACTCTCGACACTTTCTGCAAGGGTTTGAGCGAGGGACCTGCCGTTCGGGTCTTGGCCTTGGTTTCGTGCAGGAGCTCGAGCTACGGCGATGCCAAGCACAGGAGGAGCAACTGCGGATGGAGGCGGGGACTGGGAGGGCGACACAGACAGATGGCAAGGGCTAGCTGGTGCGCAGGTCTGTGAGCATCAGCTCAGCAGGGTGCAGATGGAGCAGGACGATTTCTGCCCTTGTCGTGGTGGTCCGTTGAGAGTGATGTTCAGTACTGTGCAGTGGCAAACGCGCATAAGCGGCACTGTGACTTGATCTCTGCTTCGGTTTGTCGCATTCCCACTGGTTTCCACTCCACGAAACTGCAGCTGTCAATGTGCGTTGTCGGCAATCAAGACAGGTCGTGAATGCAGATCGTCGCCGCTTTCTGTTATCCCTGTTATCCGGCGGGCGGAAACCGCAACGGTCCCCTCCCCCAACACGGTCATTGAAGCAGACTGTTCAAGAATGTCTTGATGTGAAGGGCAATGCGAACTCAGCTTGCCAAAAAAACGTTGTCTTCCCGTGCTTCCATTTCGAAGCCCCGCAAACAGCGCTGCAGAGGTGTTGGGTTGAGGCACGTGCTATGGGGGCATGCGAGCTGGGAGGACTCTGCAGAGCGTTTGCAGCGTCTCACTGCGCGGGAGGCACTTGTGTGTCTGGGTTGAAGCTGGGGTCTTGGCATGTTTTGGCTTGGACGCTTGGGGTTTCGTGCAGGAGCTCGAGCTACGGCGATGCCAAGCACAGGAGGAGCAACTGCGGATGGAGGCGGGGACTGGGAGGGCGACACAGACAGATGGCAAGGGCTAGCTGGTGCGCAGGTCTCTGAGCATCAGCTCAGCAGGGTGCAGATGGAGCAGGACGATTTCTGCCCTTGTCGTGGTGGTCCTTTGAGAGTGATGTTCAGTACTGTGCAGTGGCAAACGCCCATAAGCACTGTGACTTGATCTCTGCTTCGGTTTGTCGCATTCCCACTGGTTTCCACTCCACGAAACTGCAGCTGTCAATGCTCGTTGTCGGCAATCAAGACAGGTCGTGAATGCAGATCGTCGCCGCTTTCTGTTATCCCTGTTATCTGGCGGGCGGAAACTGCAACAGTCTCCTCCCCCAACACGGTCGTTGAAGCAGACTGTTCAAGAATGTCTTGATGTGCAGGGCAATGCGAGCTCAGCTGGTTAAAAGAACACGACCCCAGAGACCCAACAGAGACTCACTGAAGATAGTTCTTCCGAGGTTTGCAGAGAACGACTGCGACGCTTGCTTTGGCTCAAGGAAAATAAGAGTCCCAGGGTTACGTAGATGCCCTGGTTGTTTAGGGGTTCGGCCGGGTTTAAGTACCTTCCTTCCCCTTTGATTACCTATCACTGTTACGACCGTCGCCGTCTCGATCAATCTAGTTGATTTTCAGCTTCCTCGCCTTTTCTGTNNTAAGTACCTTCCTTCCCCTTTGATTGGTTATCAGCCGTAGCTCTTGTTTCCTTGGTTTTCCCACTTAAACCCGGCCAGAGGGTTTTGGTGGGTATAGGCCTCGCCATCTCCTCGGGGGTGCTGCCTTAGGCGCACCAGCGGCACCGGATCAGAAGAACACCGGTATATGCCGCCCAAGCTGGACGAGGAGCGGCCGTACAGAGGTACGCGAGCAGGAGAGAAAGGACGCAAGAAGTGGTTTTATAATATTCAGGACGAACTGGTCTGCGCTTGCTGGAGGCTATTCTCGGTAAGGCTCACAAAGGCGACCTTCGACCACGTTTCCGAGGGTCACCACCAGGCTGTGCTGCAGTTCCACGAGGCAGGCGACGAGATATTGACGAGGAGCACCTCATCTGGGAGGACCTGGCTGGTTACTACCCAGAGATCTCGAGGGCCGTCGCTGCCGTGGTTGAGCGCAGGGGTGCTGCCGAAGGCGCACCGAGCTCCTCAAGAGCTCCTGGACCGAAGGCCAAGTGGCAGCCGAAGGCAAAGGCCAAGGAGCCAGCAGGCCCGCCGCCGGCGAAGGCGAAGCCGAAGGAGCCTGCAGAGCCACCACCTTCAAGGGCAAAACCCATCGCTGGGCATCTCCGGGCCAACGCGCGATCTGTATCAGCCCTTGCGGCGCGACCCACTGCGGAGAAGACGGGTCCCCGTGGAAGAGGCAACAGAAGAAGCGGACGTTGGCACACGATCCCGTTCCGAGGATCTGAGTGCAGCCGGAGGCGCACTAGAACGCCCATCCTTAGGACAAGTAAGAAGGGCACGGACACCACCCTCAACGCGTGCTGCGGAGACTGGTTTTGTTCGTGACCTTCGTTTGCGTGGTTCCGTGCTTGCATCTTTGCGGGGAACAGGCGGAACCGGAGGCCACGGGCGAGGAGGAGGCAGCGGAGGAGCCAACAGCCGAGGAGGCCAAGACCGAGGAGACAGAGGTTGTTGCAGACGCCGAGGGTGCAGCCGAAGGCGCACGGATCGACGAAGCAGCCCAGGAAGCGAGGAGCAGCAAGAACCCACACTGATCTGGACGAGGGTGCTGCCGAGGGCGCGCAAGAAGAAGAGGAACCAGACCAGGACGTTGAGGTCGAGGCTCGAGGTATAGAGGTTCCTGTCTCAGCTTCAGAGCGCAGTCGCTCCCCATCTCCCGTGGGAGAGCCAATAGGGTTGCCGTAAAGCGCGGGGACGTAACGCGTAGGCCCCTAATCCTTGCCCCCGCCACAGAAGCCTTCCCAACTGTAAGGTTAGATTCTCAGGGCGCGTGGGTCAGAGTCAGGGACCCCACTGCCGAGCCATCCGTTGCACGTCGCGTGGCGCCCGCGAGGGTGCAGTGCACCACCGAGAGGACGAGGCAAAGGCACTGTCCGCACCTGATCCCTACGATCTGCCAGAGGAGGCCTGGGTCAACCCAGCACCCTATAGAGCGGGTTATAGTGCCAGGGGTTATCGTTTAGGCGTGCCGGTGAACCGCATAGACACCTCATCCGAGGAAGAGGCCGCGCAGCACAGGGTGCTGCCCGAGGCGCACCTGCCGCACCGCGAGCTGCGCCAGCGAAGCGGTTGTTTTTGCGCCAGGCGAGGTTGTCGAGGCGGAGGTTGAGGAATCTGCCCGCAGGCGCTCCAGCAACCCACCGGCACAGCGCCTACGATTCACCCTGGTCCCGGCTGCGCGAATTCTTGCCGTTGATCGCGCAGCCGCCTTTCTGAGAATCAACCGGCCGCCGCCGAGGCCAAGCCAAGGCCAGCGGCGGCAACAAGGCCGGCAAGACCGATCCTGGAAATCACACCTCCTGCGTCGCTCATTATTGACGACAACAAAGCGATTTGCCGAGAGTGCCGCAAAACAGGCGCACTAGCAGTCCAGGCGGACAAAGGGGGAGATATCGACCAAATTCTTTACGAACTCGACCAAGCCTCTAGGCTCATCAAGCAGGTCGGTCGTGATAGGCTCCCCCCGCCGCAGCGGCTAGAACCGCACGAGCTAGTAAGTAGTAAGTAGTAAGTAGTAAGTAGTAAGTAGTAAGTAGTAAGTAGTAAGTAGTAAGTAGTAAGTAGTAAGTGGTAAGTAGTAAGTACTCTTTGAGGCCTTCACCCAGTGCCCCGCGCGCCCCCGCCTGAGACAAGGCCCCTTCAAAGGACCCGTGCAGCGCGCGAGGGTGCTGCTTTAGCGCACCGGCCGCGAAGTCAGTGCACTAAGGGGTCCAGCCAGCAGCCAGCAAAAGCACAACGCAGGTAGTGCGGAAGGGTGCTGCCCATAGGCGCACCGGTTTCCGGTTTAGTGCCACAGGCACAGGTTTTATCAAGAGAGCTGCCGCTCACCGCCGCAAACCTTTCCTTTTGCAGTGCCCTAGGGTGCTGCCGCAAGCGCACCGGGCTGCGCAGGGTGGTTTAGGGCGCCGGTTTAGGTGGTGGTTGGTGTGCTCCCCCGTGCCTGGGGCAACAGGCGATCTAGAGCTGAGTCGTAAGCACCAGCTCCTGTAATATCATCGTTTGCGTGTTTTTGTGCGAAGCCCTAAGGGCCAGACGCAGACCGGCGCAAAGTCGCGAAAAGTCTTTGAGAGTGTGGTCGTCGAGGGGCTTCTTTTGCTGTGTCCCCTCCTTCCTTTTTGCCCTAAGGTTCTTTAGGGGATTCTTTTGGGGTCGGCCGATAGGCGGTTCTCGTAAACAGGGTGCGGCTCGAACCTGAGGAGGTGAAGCCATGTCAGGCATCTCCCCCACCGTCAGAGGACCGAACCCGAAGCCGTGCATCTGGGATAATCCTCCTTTGGTGACCCAGAGCTCTTGCAGCCGAGTGGCCGTGCGTTGGTCCCGGCAGCTTCGACCGTTCTCCGTTTCACAGGCTCCGCAAAGGAGCGCAGGCTACAGTTCTTCTTCAGCTTCCGCTACGCCTCCACAACGGGGCCCCGAGCGTAGCGCAACTCAGGCCACCTTCCTGGCCGGTGCCGCGGTCACCCATGCACACCATGCGTCCAATGTGGCGTTGGGTGCTGCGACTGCTGCGCACCAGGCGGCCGAGAGGAACAGGTCACCGTGGCCAATGCTCAGGATGCGGTACGACATTTTGCTGGACAGGCCGCAGCCGCGGAGGCGAATTATCGTGATCAAGCCCGGGCGATTGCACAGGCAGCCCAGGCCGCAGTTGACACTGCCACGCAAAGGGAAGCAACCTTAAGGCAAGAGGCGCAAACCGCCATCGCAACCACTGCTCACGAGGCTCAACAAAGGGTCACGGAGATACAAGGTGAAGCCCAACAGGCCACTACCCACAGCAACCAGGCAGCACAAGCAATGAAGCTCGAGAGCGGGCCGAGGCTGCACGACAACGTGCAGAGCGATATGCGGCGCAGCGCGATGATCAACTTGCCAGGTTGGCTAATGATATGGAGGAGATGAAACAGAGGCATGCCGAAGCCATGAGTCGCATGACTGAACGCTTCCATGAGCTCTCGGCTCAGTTCGCTGATCGGGACAGGGTGCTATATCCGCGAACCCCGACCCGAACTCACCTATCGTTTCCCGACATGTCGTTTTCCCCCGACACAGGCCAAATGATACGGTCTCCAGGCAAAGGCGATGGAAATGATCCACCGCCTGATGGCCGGCTGGCTGCTGCTGCAAGCGCGGCGGCGCTTAAGACGCCCGCCGAGGTCGAAGAAGAGACCATTAGTGATGAGGCGCAGAACCTCTTACAAG